TTGCTGGCGCATCTCTCACTGATTCATAAGTTCCAACTTTTGTAAATTGAATTTTTCAATTCCATACAGTCTTCCTGCGACGGATTTTTTTCCACTCCTACCCTAGTTCAAAAGCGATTTTAGCTCACTGGTTATGGAGATATATCTAGCCTTCTTCCCCAACTAACTTGGAGGTGTGGGTGCTGCAAAACTTAGGCCCCGCTTGGTGCCTTCCAAATCATTTCCTGGGGCCTCACGACAATTTGCTCTTGCATACTGGTGGATAATGTTCTCAACAGCCCATTGAAATAACTCTATTCCCCGTAGCTAGAACCAGAGACAGGATTCAGGAATATGTTTTACCGGCGTACTTCCACACTGGGGTGAGGGGAGCGTCTAAGCTTTAAAATGGAACTATATGGAACTATATCTTAACCACATGGGCTGTCTGACAAATTTGGCACGGATGCCAAAGAAATGCTTGGGAACGGATAAATTCCGTCGTGACTATCCCTACTTTTAATCGTGTCACTGCCCTTACAACCATGTAACCTAGAAGGTACCCTCTAATTGAGGGCGCGAAACTAAGGCGGCCAGAGAGGGCTGAGCCATCCCCCAATTTTGTGAAAATTTATAAATGGCTATGTAGTTTTTGACTGGCAAAATAGCCCAAAAGTAAAAGCGCCATGGGTGAAACCAGGGGGACACGGGGCCATGGTCCCCCCCCCCCTCCCTTAGGCCTCAAAGGGGCCATAATCTCCAAGGGGCGCATAACCGGCCAAACATATGCAGTTTTTGAACGCAAAACTCAACAAAACAATTTGGGGGCGGGGTTTCCAGGCGACCAAGAGCAGTTGCGAGCACAAGTGGAGGGCCCACGAGTAGATAAGAATAATTCTTCACTGACAGAGGGTGGTGATTGGGAGATTTTAAGGCTCATAATGCTGTCTAGGGGCCCGTGCTATTTCCGGGGACCTGTATGTTCCTTTGCACGGTTAGTCCGATCGTTAAGGGGGCCTTCCACTTTGCCCTTGATTCCTTTGCATTTGCTAAGAGGGCCCAGCGCTGTTGCTGGGCCCTTCCTGCTAGTGCGCCGGGGTGCTCTTGTTAAACAGGGGCCTTCCGCGGATTATTCTCACTCGCCCGAAACGCTCTGCACGCTATACCCGGGGACCCCATTTCTTAACCTGCCGGGGTATTCTCGGTTGCTCAGGGATGCTTCACGGTGGTCTCGGTTAACCTACCGACGCGCTTGCGATATGCTCAAGGGCCCTCTGCATCGGTCTAGGGCCCTTTCATTTATCTGTCACTTTCTCAGGACCCTACACTCTTTTCGGGGTCCATCTGTTAACATGCTCGAGCACACTGGATTGTTTTGGGCCCCTGCACGTTGGATATTTGAGTGTTGGGCGTTGCGTTCCTGTCAGGGGCCATCTGATTGCCTGCTCGGGTACCCTGCATCTTTCGTGGACCCTCAACACTGGGCTTTTGGTACTTGTTATTTCATTGGAGGGCCTCATGCTCCTACCGGGGGCCTATCTGATAAGCTGCTCGGGCACACTTGATCGTTCGGGAGGCTCTCACGTTAGGACTAGGGTAATTCCTATTTATATGGATGGCTTTCGGTTTTGTCGGCGGTTCCATCTGAAAACCTGCTCGTGCACACCCAAACTTTCGGGTGTCGAGCGATCGAGTGTGCATTGTGCCTCCGGTGCTTCTTATTTGAATGGAGGGCCCTGCGCACTTGTCGGGGTTCCCTCTGTCCGCCTCCTCAGACACACTGGATTCTTTTGGGGCCCTGCACATTGAGCATTCGAATGCAGGGCACCACGCTTATGTCGGGGGCCATCTGATAGCCTGATCGGGTACACACGATTTTTCGGTGGCCATCCACACTGGGCATTTGGTAGTTGCTATTTGAATGGATGGTTCTACGTTGTTGCCGAGAGCCCTATCTATTAAGCAGCTCTGGCGCACTCGATCGCTCGGGAGCTCCTTCATTGTGCCGTGGGTATTTCCGCTTTGGTTGGGGGTCCCTACGTTCTTGTCGGGGTGTGTGTGTGTGTGTGTGTGTGTGTGTGTGTGTGTGTGTGTGTGGTGTGTGTGTGTGTGTGTGTGTGTGTGTGTGTGTGTGTGTGTGTGTGTGTGTGTGTGTGTGTGTGTGTGTGTGTGTGTGTGTGTGTGTGTGTGTGTGTGTGTGTGTGTGTGTGTGGTGTGTGTGTGTGTGTGTGTGTGTGTGTGTGTGTGTGTGTGTGGTGTGTGTGTGTGTGTGTGTGTGTGTGTGTGTGTGTGTTGTGTGTGTGTGTGTGTGTGTGTGTGTGTGTGTGTGTGTGTGTGTGTGTGTGTGTGTGTGTGGTGTGTGTGTGTGTGGTGTGTGTGTGTGTGTGTGTGTGTGTGTGTGTGTGTGTGTGTGTGTGTGTGTGTGTGTGTGTGTGTGTGTGTGTGGGTGTGTGTGTGTGTGTGTGTGTGTGCGTGTGTGTGTGTGTGATGTGGTGTGTGTGGTGTGCGCGCGCGCGCGCGCGCGTGTGTGTGTGTGCGCGCGCGTGTGCGTGTGCGTGTGCGTGTGTGTGCTTGTTATTTGAATGGACCCTACGTTCTTAGCGGGGACCCCACCTCATAAGCTGCTCGAATGGTGGCGGATACGGGGTGGGGGGACGGGGGACGGGATCCTACCTCCCTCGTGCCCGAGGGGCTCCAAAGGGTCCAAATGGTTCATAATCGGCCGAAGGGGCGCAGTTTCCTAACACAGAACGCAAAAAATCGGACGTTTGTGGCCCACAGACAACCAAGAACAGTGGCAAGCAAAACTCCACAGCCAATGAGCAGACAAAGTAAGTCTTCGCTGATTGAGAGAGTGGTTATCGGGGAAACTCTCATTACCCTGTTCAGAGGCCTTGCGCTGTTTCCAGGACCCTGTATGTCCACTTGCCGGGTCAATCCAAACGCTAAGGACCCTCACGCGTTGCGCGTGTTATCTTTGCATTTTCTCATTCCCTACGCTGCTGGTGGGGCAGTATCCGCTTACGTCCCTGGGCACTCTTGTTCGATCGAGTTTTGTTCCACGGATTCTTCACATTTACTCGAAAAGCTTTATACGCATTTTCCGGATATAAAATTTGCGGAGGACCCTTCACTCCTATCGGGTTCTTTCTGTTGACCTGAGCGGGCACCCTTTAATTCACAGGGGCCTTGATAAATATGCACTGATCTCGGGTAGTTCTTTCTTCTTCTTTTTTTTTGCTTAGAGGGTCCTGTGCTCTGGCAGGGGTCCTACATCAGCTTGCTGGGACACTCCCGATCGGTCAGGAGCCTACCTCGCTGGTCTTTGGTTCTTTTCGCTTGCTTTGCGAACCCTATACTTACCGACGGGAGCGTATTTGTTGGCCTGTCATGGCGCCCTCGGTCGTTCAGGTTCCGTCGCTGTTGGCTTTTGTGTCTTAGTCTTAGAGCAGCTGTCGGGTATGCGCTGATTAATTATTACGCCCAGTGGTCGAACGTAATTCTATGAATCACCGACGCCTTATGTGTATTCCGTTGATTATTTAATTTGTGACACGTATACCTGTGCATCACGTTCCAAATGTGTTGTCGTTTCCAAGATGTGTTGTGCTCTTTTACAGCAAAGGGAAAACTGTTTTAGTAATCGGCCATCAGCTGATCACATCGACCAGCCGGCTAGCCGTAAATCAGCAAGGGAATCAAGTTCGTGCTTGATTTCCATGGTGTTTAGCAGTCAACTTTAATTTATTCTGCCATGTTTCTCCGAAATGCATAGCCCCAAAACGGCAGGATTTGCAATGATTTGGAGAAAATTAATAAGATGCATATATGTACATACGTAGCGCGCCTGGTCTTCTAGGGTTGCGTTAAGTACAGCACAGTACAGTACAGTATAGTACAGTACAGTACAGCAAAGTACAGTACAGTGCAGTACAGCACAGGCCACATTCCCAACGCGAAAAGCTAAGCGACAAGTCTTGAGCTTGCGTTTGAACCATGCGCACGTTGTCGTGCGAGACCCAATGGAAATTACAAATGTGGGGATTACCAGAACTTTTATAACAATCTCGTGTGTCCGGTTTCTGTATAAAACATATCCTGGACTACTTCTGGCCACCACAAAACCTGCAGAGCGGTCACCTGACTTAACAGACCAGCGTCGACTTTCATTATCGATAACCAATCCGCGGGCGACCCGCTACAGGGGCGGGCCGTGGAAGTGAGCGGCAAAACACTACCAAACGTGATTCATGACTCACGCCTACCATCAACGTTTGCCATGTATCCAGAGAGCATCAGTCACGGTGTATGTCTTGTCCGCCACCAGCCGATCAGAAATTGACCCGAGCGTCCGCGGTATTAGGTTCCAGAACGCGAGAGCCCATCCAACTGTTACCAGCGCCCCGACCTGCGCTGCCCTGCCTGTCCCCCTCCCCAGGGGAGAGCGAGCGAAGATCGGTGTGCACTTATACGAGCCAGTGTGCCGTGCTGGATACCCGTGGCTCTGTGAGTGGACGCGCCTCCTCAATACACGTGGCTGAAGTAGCACGAATGCATGGTTGTCTGGGCGTTGCCAAACATTTTCGGATTTTCTTGTCACGTAAGTTGTTAAGTTGTGCATAAGTTGCAGTAAGCAGCTGCGCGTAAGTTATGCATTTACGAGGAATGTTGTGCACATAAGACAGCACTATCTTTATTGCTCGGAGAAAAAGCAGGAGAATGGAGATCTAGATTCGTTCATAATTCGGCAGCACGCCTTTATCGAAACGAATAGCAGAGGCTTCTGGTGTGCGTTTCGATAAATGCGTGCTGCTGATGTTGCCGCGATATCAGCCATCTATATCTCCAATCTTTTGGTTTTCCCCGATGAATAAGGTTACTAGTGCTGTGTTATAGATGTTCTAGTCGGTAAAGTATGAACTACAGAATGGCACAGGATCGGGAGACCCAGGATTACGTATAACTGTTTCCGGCAGAATGCGATGCAGGCCATTCAAAGACAACCTGAAACCAACCGTTTATTCGTCGTTTCACACAATGAAAGCAGCCAATGTTTTTTTTTAGAACGTCCCAGCTGAATCAACGTCAACATCGTTGCACCCATATGAACATAAAATCAGTAAAATGCAAAACTAGGTAGTGGCATCCGTATTGATAAATTACTCGAATGTTACATAACGGAAGCTGCCCTTGGCTCTCCCGATGTCTGTATAAATATCATTAAAACGTTTTATTGACTCAGCACCAGTGAACCCACGTATCAAGCTGTCCAAAAGCAGTCTAGGCGTAGCCGAATAGCACTGGCAGCGCGGCCCCGCGTCCAAACAATGTCTCATCGACATGGCGACAACACCCCGGGGCTCTGCCTAGCTGGCGGCCTGCTTGACACTGGTCTGCAGCTGGACGGCCTGCACCAGCAGCGGCAGCAGGTGCACGTGCTCCCTGCCCAGCGCCAGCGGCAGCTCCTCGGCCCAGCCAGCATCCTCGGCGTCCCAGCGGGCCAGCAGCAGGCCCAGTGTCACGCGCAGCCGCTCGGCGCCCAGGATCTGCCCCAGGCGGCAACAGATCACTGCCAGACGATGTCGGCCCGAGCTATCGGCCACGTGAGATGCCTGGTTCAGCTGCTCCAGACAGGGGGACAATCCACAACCGACGGCTGGCATGTCGTTAGCTAAAGCGGCGTCATAATCGATCCCATATGTCAATATGACGTCGGACTGACTGACGTCATGTGAAGATCATGACGTCCTATACTGACGTCATAACCGTCATAATCGATCCACACGACCCCACTAGAAAGTAGTTTCAATGGCCCATTCCATAGCAGTTTTCGCAACAACAGAACACACAAATCACAGCAGTTTATGAGCGCATCGTGTGTTAAAATTGGTGGACACAGACTTACCGAGAGTTTAGTTTAGGGGTTTAGAGACCCGATAAAAAAGGTTGCTAAAAAGGGGAGCATGCTCAGACTAGATAAACAAGTCTCTTGACGCAACCGTAGAAAATATTTCAGCATTAAAACTGATCCAGAATAATTATACAACATCAAAGCTGGCTGTTGCACGGATGTTCAGCGACGTTTATTTGGGCTGTCCAATAGACCACTCGGTTCGACTTTAGACTGCTTGGTGGGTTGAAACCGATCCACTTAGAAACCAGTTTCATCACGATCCGGTTTCGGAAGCGATCGCCTGCCGTGAATTGGTGTTATACTCACAAACCACTTCACAATGATATGTGGACAAATAAATGTTTGCACACCTCGCACTTAGAACGCATTGCCAGGGCAACCAGGCATTCTTGACGCTGGGATGGTATCTAACACGTCCCTGTCTCAACCCCCCCCCCTTCCCTCCCTGCTAATCACCACGAGGGTTATAATCACCGGACGACAGTCTCGGGATCCCTCTCATAGCCTTGGGATCCCCCTCATAGCCTCGGGTCCCAGAATGCAATGCTTTCCTACCTAACTACTCAATGAATAAGGACATGATAAATTTAATACTGCAGATTACTTAATATGTTTACAATGTGTGGGATGTGTGGGACTGCTAGTGCATTGCAACCAGACGTCCTTTGGACACCTACGTTTTCGTTTTCAGAAGACACAAACGTCCTTAATGGTGATACGTGTGCTTTAAGACAAAATATGGAGCAATTGTGTGCATCAGCAGCAAAACAGGGTAGTCATGCCAATATTTACATAGTTTGAATACCACCCTGAAAACGTGGTGGTTGTGGTTGTGGTTGACCGTGGTTGAGATTGGTCCAGACAGCGGTCAGATGCCATCCAACCTCCTGCAGGACAATCTTTCTCTTCGTTTCGGAGTCGGCTGTTCAGTGTCCATCGAACTGAGTCCGGCCCGGCGCTCAGCCCGATGTCAGAGGCAGCTGCACCAATCAGTAGCCGGCGAAGGCGCGTGCACGACCATGAGCGGCCATTACGGTCGATTAGTGCCAGCCGGCGTCATTACTACGCCGTCTTCGCCCGACGGAGCGGAGGGTGGCTATCAGGAGCCGGATCGAAGAGTAAGCGGTACTCCACGTGGGACGTGGCAGCGGGTGGGCGGGGCAGAGCGGAGCCGGTTTTGATAGGCGATGTTGACGATAGCGGCAGGACGGACGGGCAGGGGCTATGAGAAATCGCCTGACTGGGAAAACCTGTCAGGATTGGGATGCATGTTAGACATATCCGTCATAGCCAGTCGGAGAGATGGCTCCTCCACTGCAGTCCGCGTGTAGCACTCTCCGCAGAGACTCAAACTCTCCGAGAGTGCTCTCTCTCTCTTTCCATCGTTATTTGTCGTGGGATCGCAAGGCGACTCCACATCCTGCCCTGGCTGACAGATGCATTATCCAAGGCTGTGTTTTTGTCTGAAGACTCGCCCAACCTAGTTGCTCCAGCGGGATGACCTCGTATGCGCTCTTAGCTCACCCGGGTGCCCCAAGAGAGTGGACTCGTCCGAGGTCTCACCTGCTTGGAGTGCCCAACACAATGGACTTGCTCGCGGTCTCATCTGACCCGAGAGCCCAACACGGTGGACTCGTCCATGGCCCTGCCTCACCTGAGCGCCCCAACACGGTGGACTCGTCCGCGGCCTCGCCTGGCCAAGATGTCCCAGCCGAGCAGACTCGTCCGGAGCCTCACCTGACCCAGGTGCTCCAGCAGAGCAGACTCGTCCGGAGCCTCACCTGACCCAGGTGCCCCAGCAGAGCAGACTCGTCCGGAGCCTCACCTGACCCAAGTGCCCCAGCAGAGCAGACTCGTCCGGAGCCTCACCTGACCCAGGTGCCCCAGCAGAGTAGACTCGTCCGCCGGTCGACCGGGCCGGATCCTTGCAACCCACATCACGCGGGCCAGCTGCTCGTCCTTGGCGTAGCGACACTGAGCGCAGATCAGCGAACAGCACGCCGCGCTCTGGCACCCCACCTTGCGCGCGTGCAGCGCGGTGCAGCCTGCCGAGCCACGTGACGTCAGAGAATCAGCTGGCGGCACTGTTTGTGTTGCCAGACGCGTGGTTCGAAGCGAAACGACCATTTTCACAGAAAACGAGACGTGCTCCCGGAATATGGCGGCCGAGAACGGAAGAGGTCTTTCTGAACATTCTCTGAAAGTTCCGAGAGTCCTTTGAATGCTACTATCGAAGTGAGCGCCACGAATGCCGGTCAATAGTTGGACGTGTTATGACCTCGTCATGAATATAAATACGCCAGCCCGCCTTTTAAAGGTCACTATATTTCATTTCATAGTACCTGAACTACGCCAATAGACATTGGCTGACCACTCCTTACGTAAAGAAAGCAACAATGTTTGAGCAATTATGTCGGCCGAGGCGATTAAGTGATCCAAACAAAACGACAGACACGCTTTCACGGTATTTCGCATGGCAGGGCAAGTCCTCCACCGCAGTTAGCATTAAAGAAACGGGCACTATAAGGCGGCGCATTGTTGCCCTCACTATTAAAACATACCAGCCGTGGTCAATCGCTTCTCGGACATCAGCCTACCTGTCAGCTGAATGCTGTTCTGGTTGATGTCCGGCAGGCGCGGCGACAAGTTCACCAGCGTGGCCTCCTGACTGTCGCATTCCTTCTCCTCGGCCGCCGAGCCGGGCGGCTGACGCTCCGGACCGCCGCCTGGCTCTTGAGGACGTTCGGCCGGTACCGGCCGCGGACTGCCAGCCTCCCGTCTCCGGCTGACCTCCGGCGGCTGCTGGTCCGTCCGCCGCTGCTGGTCGTCTGAGTGGGTCCAGTGTGGCCGTTGGCTTCTGCCGATGTCGCTGTCGACACTGCTAACGCTGCTGGCGCTGCTGGCGCTGCTGACGCTGCTGACGCTGCTGGCGCTGCTGATGTTGCTGGCCGAACTATCGCCGCGTGGAACCACCTGATGATGGGCTCCCACACCCCTGTCCCTGCTACTGGCGACTGTGATGCTGTCGCTTCTGGAGACCGCCTGCTGCTGCTGACTTCTCGAGTTGCCGACAGAGCTGTTGCTGCTGATGCTGGGGATGATATCGTTGTTTAAGACTTGCTGCTGCTGGCGGGTGCCTACGCTGCTAGTGGAGCCGTCGCTGCGAGACGCCACTGGTCGCTCCACCGGGCGGGCTACGGCAGCCCCTTTAGACCTCCTGAAACAGAAAAGCCTTTAAAGCACAATCCAGCAGATTGCCGCCTGAATCGTGCCACATTCAGAGGCCATTGTGTAGGCAAATAGCACGGGCTTCGGCCGGCACAGACGGAATTACGATCGCGCTTCAATAATCCACATGCAATTAGATCAGCATTAGCGGACTCAGCAATCGGTGGTATCACGTTAATCGAACATTCCGGGAATAACTCATTTATGCGTACCTCCAGCCCTCCCCTGCCCCCCCCCCCCCCTCCCCTCCTTCTCCACCCCACCTGCGCGCGCACCTCGGCGAGGGCTCGTCCAGGTACCGGGCGCTGCGGCGGACGGGCGAGCCGCGCGCCGCGCCCGACGGCGCCGGCACCGGAGAGCGCGGCAGCGCTGCCACCGGCGAACGGGAGCGGCCACCGGCGCGCGCCGGCGAGCGGCCAGCCGGCGTGACCGGCCGCGCCAGGCTCAAGCTCGGCCGGCGGAACACCCGCGCCGGCGAGCGGTCGCGGTGCGGCGTGGCGCGCGGCTCGGCCGCCTCCTCGCTCGGGTCGCTGGCGCTGCGCGGCCGCGTCTCCTGGCGCGCGAACTTGTTCTTGAGCACCTGGCGGATGAGAGCACTCGGGCCGCGACCGGAAGCGCCGCGACTCTGCCGGAGGTGGTCGGCTGTGACGGCGCCGCCCGCGACCGTGGCAGCGGTGAAGGCGTCGTCACGATAGCGGATATGAAGTAGAAAAGAGTACGCACCATTCCAAGCGTGACGAACCGGGGATGTGGCCGTGAGTGGGCACGGTCTCAAGATAGATTGGTGACATTAAGGACGCTCACTTGAGCAGTTCCAGTAAGACATCGATTGAAACGATAGCGCGATCGTTGGCATATTCTTGGGAATTCGGCAGATGATTGCCGGGCTGAAGAAACTGTGCGGCACTGAATGTGCTGCCGGATCGCTGCAGCACGCCGAAGCTGAATGGCGCACCAGTTAGATGGTGTTTGGCGAGGCAATGGTGGTCCCCCGGCATACTTATAAAATATACTCTAGCGGAATCTCCGGACAAGCTACATCTTATAATAGCGCTGCGTAATGCCACTGCGCTCCGTCAAAACGTGACATCAAAGTACATCAATTGTAGTTATTTTCTAGGCAGATTTACGCTGCCGACGCTTTGTAACGATGCTGTCTTTCTTTCCTGCAGCTACCGTGACCACAGTCGCCATGACAACAGCAATGACCCTCTACTGGTGCGAATAAATAAAAAAAACGTTTGTGACTAGCCCAGCGGGTGGCAAGAGCCTGTTACCGAGAAGCACGCTGGTTAAAGTTTGAGCCGGTGCGTCGCTATGGACCATGTGGTGCTCCCGCTCCCAAAGCCAAAGTGCGCCTTCGGAATAGCTACTATAGTAAATGTCGAAAGGGAGAAGTCAAAGCCATAGTATAACGCTTCACTGAATTTGAGGAATAATAGCTTCATGTTTGCTGACCTTTTTGTCTAAACATGGCGTTTCAAGCTTTTGCAGCATTTATTGCACAAACATCTCGACAAATAAGCGTGTTGAAAATATAACAGAACAAACACGTTGAAGAAAGCAAGGCAAAGGAAATGTATGACTTTCTTAGTGGTGAGCAGGGTGTGAATGAGATTTCTCCCGTAGAAGGGGCTGCTTCGGATCGAACTTCTGAGCTATTCAGGGTTTCGAGAAAGCTGGTATTACTGATCAGATCACACGCGTCTGATCCAACAATAAATGAAAAGTAAAAAAATATGAGCATGTGGGGTTAATATCGGGCGTCTAATTGAATACGCCGCTCAACGTCTGTCATTATCTCGATGAAACAAAGCAAATACCTAAAAGCCTCACAACACCGTGCAGTATGCCGTTTCGCGCAAATCTTACCTCGATAATGCCCAACAGAAGTGTCTTAATATATGAACACTTGGTATGGAACCAGCACATATTGGGTCTAATCAGCTCTGCAAACGTGGCAGGAAACAATTCCGCCGTCCAAAGGTAAAACCCAATGTGTTAATGTTTGCCACTTTGCGCCTTTTATGTCATCTCATTCATCCACTCATGCTGATTTTGGTTATTTTAACAATCAATAGAATTTTTTTACAAAGGTTTAGCCTATTTTTTAGCTAAAAGCTTGTGAAAATTTCAACTATTGGTTTAAATATCCGAATGCAGCATGAGAAGACGAATTGGATGACAAAAAGCGCAAAATATCTGGAAATAAACATACGCGGTTTTTTTCTTTTGGATGGCAGAATTGTGTCAAAGACTTATACAGTTGCATGCTACTAAAACATGCTGAGTGCAGTGTGCATGCAATTTGGTGAGTGTGCACGAGTGTCTCATACAGTGTGCTCTTCAGCTCTTTAATCACTTTTGTTTTGTCACCAGCTCATAAAAACCCCGTAGATCAAAAATCAGTCGGTTGAACATGACAGACTGGTGCATTGCATTGCAGAAAAGACGCCCAGGTTGCCCGTGACCGCGACATTCTGGACCTAGTCCCACTACCGATCAGTATGCCAGCCCAACAGACCGGATTCCAGCTAAACCATCGGCATTCCTCCACCGACAGACATCGTGCAGTTCCGTCCGACGACGGATCCGCTGGGAAAGCCAACGTGCCACCGCGCCGGCCAGTGACTGAGAAACGATCGGTGATCGGACGCAGGGCGGCTAGTTACCTCACATGGTGTACCAAGTCTGTCTGGTGAGCCACAGATACAGGCATTCCCGAGTTAAGTTCGCGGTAGCGAAGTTTGCTGTCAATCTGGTATCGTGGAAGTCGGACACCTGCGACTGTGGTGTGGAAGTCGGACACCTGCGGCTGTGACATGGAGATCGGATACCTGCGGCTGTGACATGGAGGTCGGACACCTGCGGCTGTGACGTGGAGGTAGGACACCTGCGGCTGTGACATGGAGATCGGATACCTGCGGCTGTGGCATGGAGGTCAGACACCTGCGGCTGTGACATTGAGGTCGGACACATGCGGCTGTGACATGGAGGTCGGACACCTGCGGCTGTGACGTGGAGGTAGGACACCTGCGGCTGTGAGATGGAGGTTGGACACCTGCGACTGTGACATGGAGGTTGGACACCTGCGGCTGTGACATGGAGATCGGATACCTGCGGCTGTGACATGGAGATCGGATACCTGCGGCTGTGGCATGGAGGTCAGACACCTGCGGCTGTGACATTGAGGTCGGACACCTGCGGCTGTGACATGGAGGTCGGACACCTGCGGCTGTGACGTGGAGGTAGGACACCTGCGGCTGTGAGATGGAGGTTGGACACCTGCGGCTGTGACATGGAGGTTGGACACCTGCGGCTGTGAGATGGAGGTTGGACACCTGCGGCTGTGACATGGAGGTTGGACACCTGCGGCTGTGAGATGGAGGGCGGACACCTGCGGCTGTGACATGGAGGGCGGACACCTGCGGCTGTGACATGGAGGGCGGACACCTGCGGCTGTGACATGGAGGGCGGACACCTGCGGCTGTGACATGGAGGTCGGACACCTGCGGCTGTGAGATGGGGGGCGGACCCTTGTGGCTGTGACATTGAGGTTAGACACCTGCGGCTGTGACATGGAGGTCGGACACCTGCGGCTGTGACATGAAGGTCGGACACCTGCGGCTGTGACATGGAGGTCGGACACCTGCGGTTGTGACATGAAGGTCGGACACCTGCGGCTGTGAGATGGAGGGCGGACTCTTGTGGCTGCGAGTTGGAGGGCGGACTCTTGTGGCTGCGAGTTGGAGGGCGGACTCTTGTGGCTGCGAGTTGGAGGGCGGACTCTTGTGGCTGCGAGTTGGAGGGCGGACTCTTGTGGCTGCGAGTTGGAGGGCGGCCTCTGTGGCTGCGAGTTGGAGGGCGGACTCTTGTGGCTGCGAGTTGGAGGGCGGACTCTTGTGGCTGCGAGTTGGAGGGCGGACTCCCGCAGCGTTGCGAGTACCGCCCATCATGGCAGTCTGTGCATATCTTGTGTGCCAGGAACACTGCCATTATGTTTCAATTGAGAGGCTCTGGATTACGAAACCGCATTTCATGTACGACACTGAAATGCAAACGCGCTTGTACTATGTCCTGCATTCTTCGGACAGAGACGTCTTCTTTTCCCGATGAACCCCAGCCATGTTGCGTAATCAATCGCATGTGCCGCCAAATATCATATGAATTCCCAGTGAAAAATTAAAATTGTTCAGCGCGTATAGGTGAAAAACACAATCATCAACTTTGCTCAAGTAGCACAATGCACTGGTATTCATCTTTTAAACGCAGTCTTGAGACGTTCTTCACTGATCTAAGGTCATCTCGTAATGGCCATTTGACTGGCTGATTCGGTTGCAGAATGACAAGCTGACGCCGACAGAGCGCCCAAGCGCCATGCACTTTAAAGTTCGTTTGCACCATTGAGTAGGCTCAGTTTTACCCCACTTGGAATGTGTGAAGTCTCCCAGGGACCAAGTTATCACCTGAGTAAAGGCGAACGCCCGCTGTCGTCTGAAGACAATGCCACTATGCGTGTATTCTTTAAAATTTAATTTAATAATCGAATTTAAGCGCAGATCTCCAGCGACTGAACGGTCAAAGTGCTATTAACAAACACTAGTTACAGGGGTTTCCGTTTCGGTTAAATGAGCAAAGCAAAGGACAGTGTATGGTGGTCTCGAGACTTTCTAGCTGTAGCGATGGATGCAGTGATCGAAAAGTAAAGATGAAATATTATTTCATGCCCATAAGAACGTAGCAAATGTGAAGAGGCTCGAAGAACAACCTCGTAATTTCTCACGCAGCAGAATTTGGGAAAGGAGTCATGATGTCGGACGGTGTCAGATGGTGTCAGATGCTGTTTAACATGCGCAGTATGATGATGTGATCGCTTCGAACTATGTTCTCGGAACAGAAAATTTGTACGCGAAACTGGTCGCAGTCTAACGTGCGAAAACGGATTATTACTGAACAAGACCAAGCTGCGCATGCGCAGTTCAGCTCCGCAGAAGGCCTGCGGCGAGGCGTAAAGGACTGGATTAGCGTACAGCTGGCAACACGGCACTCTGATCACGACGCCCGGCCGCCGGAAAAACGCGGCGCCGACGCGGTCAGAGACCGGGCACAGAACAGCAACAGTGCTTTACACACTAGCTCGGCAGCCGGCTGAAAACATAGATCGGGAGTAGCCACTCAGGAGGGGTCGGAACCGGCACGGACCGGTCCTAACTGGATCTGCATCGTGGCTACGTCGGCGGTTTTACACTAATTTGAAAATCACGAGCACAAACGTTTCGCAGCAAACCGTTACGTGAAGTGTGATGATGGCGATTGGGGTTTTAGGGCGCGTCGACTTCTGGGGTCATTTTGCGCCCAATTACGTGAAGGGCTTCAGATATGATGTCAGATTGACTTTTTGATGGTCTCACATGATCGACACAACTGTTCAAAGCACCGTTTTCTGGTGAAACAGCACCAAGTCATCACAGGTCATACCTTGAGCTTAGTGTTGGTAGACGTCTGCGGACTCTGGGACTCTGCGTCTTTGCCCTGCGTCCAGTGAAACAGCACCAAGTCATCACGGATCATACCTTGAGCTTAGTGTTGGTAGACGTCTGCGGACTCTGGGACTCCGCGTCTTCGCCGTGCGGACTCTTCGAACTCAGACTGGAGAGCGAGTAGCTCCGCGGCCGTGTCCCGTCCCCAGATGCTGAGCCCTGAGGGGATCCCTGTGGCATGAAAGGAGCACGGACGTCAGCTGATCACGTTAGTGCTGTGTATGTGTGTGTGTGCAGATGCTTATCAAGCGTGAACAACAAGCTTTACACACGTCGTTTATGGTGTACTGAGTGCTTTGAAGGGAGGGCTCCACATTTGTATGGGGTTTTGAATATCCATCGTGAAGATCATGCGGTGCAGTTCACAATACTGTCCTTCAGACCTAAACCTTCTAGTCTCTGAGCTACATGCTAGCGAACGAACTTCTCAAACTAAGAACAAAGGTCTTGCGGAACAGCTATAAGTCGACACAGAGATTTAAAATATTTTGCTGACTTTTAAAGTCTAGTTGACATTGACAAATGGGACATGGACGCTGTCCACTGTAGGTTGGAAGCTTGACACTGTGTGTTGAAAGCTTGTACTAACGGTCAGTTTAACAGCACACTTATGCGGCACTCAAAGCCATTAGCCGTTGTACGATATGAGTGCGTGAGAACAATGTAAAGGCACGCTGTAAAATGCAATGAAAATGAATCCGATGCTCCATCGCAGGCTCTGTTTATCGCAGACCTTTAACAGTCGGGGGCTCGTTAACAGACGGCGTGCTCCTTTCAGGAGTTTCAGTGACAGGCGCATGTGTTTCCCACATGGGGACGTCGCGGTCGTCTCGTGCCGCCGCTCCTCGTGGCGCAATCTCAATGTCCGGCGAGATAAAGCGCAGTTGAAGCAATCATAGCAGGTGCCGGGTATGAGATCCGGACGCATCTGGACCACGGGATAATGACGCAGGTGGATCGGGATGTACCAACCCTCGGAAACGCGGCAAGAACATAGCCTCGCAAACAAAACGGCACAAATTGCGAGACCAAATCGACTAATCCTTACGATATGGTATCCATCGTCCAAACTGAATGTCGCACGCTACTCCGCATTCGGCTACGTTGCGTTCCTGCATGCACATCAAACATACATTAGGTTGCAAGTCACAGTATGTTCGTCTCCAACGGGCGCAGAAGCGGGTCAGTCGGCGAGAATGGCATGCGTCCCCCGTGCGGTCGGGCCTACGCACCGCGTCCTCGGAGCGACGGCGGGCCATGACCGGGGACACGGCGGCGGGGCCAGGCACGTCACGTGCGCCGGGCTCGCCGCTGGTGCGCCGCGGCTCGTCGCGCCCGGCCTCGTTCTCGGCCAGTTGGTTGGCGTAATGGGAGCGCCAGGGCCGCGGGTCAGCGGGCCGCCGCGTGTCCGCCTCGGCCGGAGCCGGTGTCTCGAGCGAGTCGACCGTCATTGAGGCGGCGCACACGTCCTCGTGGCTCGACGACAGGCTGGTGGACGAAGCGGTTATCAGATCGTCGCAACATCAAAGGACAAGAGTGCATTAGGCTTCGGTGTGGCATATTCGTGTGGTTAGTTTACACGCTGCCACGCGCTAAAACATGCGTGCAATCCATCGACAGATGTCTTGCAAAGAACTAACAGGCACACCCTGAACACAAGCAGGCAATTAGAGTGGGATTTGGCAAGCTTTTTCAGAGTGTCGGGTGCAACCAGAATATGTGCCTCGAAAGCAACGCTTCAGACCCACGGCCGGCGCGGCTCCTTGACCTATGTCAACTGTCCAACCAAAGCCGCTGGCTTGTGCTAAATCGTCATTCTGCTGTTTTCCTGGAAAACTTCAATACCAGAATGCATCACCACACACCAATTGGACTTTTTTTCACAGCAGAACTTGGAATAGTGGCCCTGGAGGTCGTGCCGAATATGGTAATGACACCAACGCTCCATACAGAATGCAGCAATTGCTTAAAGAACTCGGCTAGCATGACTGTTTTTGACAAAGGTTAATTACGTCATGCCCCCTGCTAAGGGGGTGTTTATGACCTATAACTTTGCTAATGGCCTTTGGCCTGTCACTCAGCTCCTAGAATTGTATGTTTCGGTAGGAGTGTGATTATAATTGAGGTGTAAGCTGTACTTATTAGGTAAATTTGCTTATCTGTTCAATTACCATTGATTATTTAATCGAATTTATTGTTCATGTTTAATTACCACTGACATCTCTCGGAAATGGATTGACTGATTAATGGCTAATTGATTTGCCACCTTAGTAGTATCACCAGTGGGACTTGCTTACGCACTTAAACGTGCTCGATGAAAAGCATGATGTACTTTACTTAAATGCATTTTTAGCATCGTCATGTAACACTCAGCAACAAACCACTTGCTTGTTTCATTTTGCTTTTATAAAGGTTTGTGGTGTTCCAACTTAAGTTCATCAGGGTATACAGCTGATAACAAAATATCTAAACTCCTCCAACGAATGCGCATACCGAATTTTACTCTGGTTCCGAACATCGACCTTTAGGCACGCTGAACAGATGGTGGCATTCTTCCTCGATCCACGTCAGGGTATTAGAGCACTGTTACCGTTGGAATTTTTGCCTCCTTAGGCGCACTAAAATTTGGATAACGCAAAGCTATCGTTACGTCGCGTTCTTAGTCCTCCCTAGCTTAAGTCACCACCTGTCTCGGTCCGTGCCGTCGGAGCCGTTGCTGCCGTTGCTGGAGCCGTTGCTGGATGCGTTACCGGAGCCGGCAGTGCGATGACCTCCACGTGGAGACAGCACCGCGTTTTGCCACTGAAGCACGGGTCGCAGATGATGACAATCGCGAAGGCAGTCCAATGCAAGGGAGCACAATGCAAAGGAAATTAGAAGTCCGTGACAATAGCACTAACGTTATGACCAGGGAGGCCCCTTTGATCCGGAATGGCCATCGATCTCCTTTTACGCACGTACCTCTTGGCATTGGGGGGGGGGGGGGGGGGCTGGGATGGAGATGGAACAGAGTTGTGCGTAGAATTATGATTGATGCAATAATGTGACTGGTCTTACTCGTGCGTAGACATTGGCACGAGACATTGGAGAAACGTGTCGAAAACGTGTAGAACGCTTCCCAATGTGCAGTCGTGCACATTCCTCCACATTCCCCCCGACACCGCTGGGTGTACAGTGGTACAGTCAAGCCCAGACAGCCCTGCGGCTTTCGGTAGGCACCCTCGAGCGGCCCGTCGTTTGCTACGCTGGTCGATGCTTTTGACAAACATTACGCTAAACGGTGCAGCGAGGCCCGTGGCTGCTTTGAGCGGCTACAGCAACATTTCCGGCTGTCATGCCACACACTAGTAGGCAACATCATTAGAGCTCCGGGAAAGAGACACCAGCTGTAGAGGGAGTACTGCACATAAAGCGCATACGCGGTTCCCATAGCTATCTCTGTGGCCATACAGCATACAGTGGTCATTTCGGTCATAAAGCATACAGTGTGTCGTTGGAAGCCATACAACACAGCTTGGCAGTGGATGTGATGCTAAGCCCAGCACCGACCGCGGTTGGCTGCATGACCAGAAGTACCCAGACGAGAGTGTTCACGTGCACAGACGAGCGTCCTCACGTGCTCAGACGAGCAGCCTTATGTGCTCAAATGAGTATCTTCACGTGCTCATACGAGCGTGCTCACGTGCTCAGATGAGCGTGCTCACGTGCCCAGATGAGCGTACTCACGTGCTGAACGAACGTACTCGACGTGCTCAAACGAGCGAACTCACGTGCTCAGACGAGTGTATTCGCATGTTCAGAAGAACGTACTCACGTCATCAAACGGGCGCACTCACGTGCACAGAAGAGCGCATCGCATAGTCTATTTCGCGGTATACTCCAAGTTCAATACAGAATTAAACGCTTCGTGATCAAAAGAATAATGCATCGCAGCTAGTTCTGTAGCCTGCACGCAACGTTTGCAAACTCTCAGGCCTTTGGCCGAGTGTCTGTATGGCACTGGCCTCGAGACCGTGGGGCGGCACTGCTCCACTGCACGACAGCTGGTCAGACTGTGGCGAACGGCGAGCTTCGCTGGCACGAGGGGCGCGTGTCAGTGAGCGTCGTCAGGTAGCAAGCGGCCGTCAGTGGGCGTCGTCAGGTAGCAAGCGAATCGGCAGCTTGGCAGGACACAGGAGTCTACGCAAGACTTGGGTAGCTCACCCGGACACAGGAGTGGACATTCGGCCTGGGGACGGCTCACCCGGACATAGGAGTGGACATTCGGCCTGGGGGCAGCTCACCTGAACATAGAAGTGGACGTTCGGTCTGGGGGCGGCTCAACCGGACGTGGGAATGGACATTCAGTCTGGGGACGGCTCACCTGCAAATAGGAATGGACATTCGGCCTGGGGCCGCTCACCTGGACGTAGGAGTCGACGAAGGGCTTGAGGGCGGGGATCATGAGCACCTGCTCGGCGGAGGGGCGCCGGTCCGGCTGGGTTCGCAGCAGCACCGTCACCAGGTCACGCAGCAGCAGGCTGTAGTGACTGCCGGCGGTTGACGAAGAGACGCTCAGCGGCGGTTTCCGGCGAGGAGAGACCCTCGCTGCCCCCTCCCTCCCCCCTTCCCCGAACCCGAGGCCCGCACACACAGTTGCAGGCACGTCTAAATCTCCAGCAAGAGCGTTTGGTGGTTGCCCACAGCCTGCCAGGGCCAGGCACAGCATCATACGGGCTTCACTGATCGTATTGGGTTACATCATCGCGGTGGCTAGTGAACGTACCGTGTCTTAAGTTCAATGTATATTATGTTTAATGTCATGTCAACATAACACCCGAAGGAATCAGCCAAGTGCCAGCAAACCAGCAAACATAGATCCTCAACCTAAATTAGCGCACACATCTGCTCCGGCCAGATTGAATTCACCGTGGGGAGTAATTGAACTGAATTGAATTGAATTCACCGTAAACATATCCACGTTTACTAGATGTTGATTAATGCCAGAGACATGCCTGTTCAGCGAAGGAAGCAAGGCAACATCATTACCATATGAATACCGGCTGGGTACGATTTCAGTGCATGTGAATCAAATTTGCCCAACCTGCGGGTATATTAATAGCTTAAAGATACCGTTTAGGTCATACCGATGCATCCGCCGTCACCAAATCAACGAACCGATTAGAAGCCTCGGCCAGTGATGAAAACAAACGACAATGGGGCTGGTCAACGTGCCGAGCAAGACCAGAGGCGGAACAGGACTATGGACACCGTGCAGAGTGCAACAGGTTCAAGATGGAGCGAACAATGGCCGTGGTCAAGGAGATAGCGGCACAGAGGCAAATAAGTTCAAAACGTACGGAACAGGTGCCCTAGTTAATCAAGACTACCTACCGGTACGTAAAAATCGTACGCCTCTGTGCGCAAATGGGATCGAGTTGCAGCGGCGTACCTAGGGATCGGGTTGTAGCGAGCCTGTAGGATCTTCAGCACGAGATTCTCGAAGCTGTTCGCGTTGAAGGGATGCGTGAGGCAACACATCTCATAGACGATGCATCCCACCGCCCACTGGTCCGACTTGTGATTGTACGGCTGCCTGGCAGTTACAAAGGTACACGTGTTCAAAGGTAGCATGAACGAGCAGCACGCTATGCGTTCGCCAGTGTAGGTGAATTTGCTTAGAAACATGTCGAAAGGTACACTTAACCAAGAGCTTTACCATAGGCACACCAGCAAACAGAGTTTAAAAAAGAGGTGAATAACTTTCAGGCTACATATGTATCCGCCAGAAAACTGAATATTCCATCAGAGACTGATCGAAAGCGTGCCACGAGCGACTGATCTCGCTGCATGCCGCAGAGAAGAGGACCGAGACCTCACCTCTGGCATATCTCCGGGGACAGGTAGTACGGTGTGCCGATGGCAGTGGTAGCCAGCTCCTGGGTGCTCCGCAACGTGCGTGCGATACCGAAGTCGCCCACCTTCACCAGGTTCTCGCTCGTTAAAAAGATATTCTGAGTTTTAAGATCTGAAATGTCGCCCTTATTACGCTTGGCGCAATGTCGCGTGCGCAGCATTAGGGGAATCCAGGACAGTTGTGATGACCAGTAGAACAGAGAGCAAGTTAGTTCTGTCTAAGCTGACGACGGGTCCTGTGCTTGCGCACGCGCGTGGTCAGTGTTTAAGTCAAAATAAAACAAACTCTGGGCGTCTCAAGTTAGAAAAGTTTTTTTCTGATATGCTGCCGTATTAATCAAAATTGCAGCTTTTTTCATCCAGCTTTTTGATGAGCCGGGTTCATCCTTGCAAGGCTGAGCGCACTACACCACTTATTTGCCATTATCTATCCTTACTTTCTTTTCTTTACTTTGCTTATCCCAATCTTTGTTGTCTGTTGCCGCCAAAGCGGAGCCAGCCTGCGCCATTGCGTACAGTGCGGATGCAGAAGCTGACGCGTGCCAGCGTACCACCCTGCACCCGTCCGACGCACCTCTGTGTAGAATGTTCTTGCTGTGCAGGTACTGGACGGCGAAGGTGATCTGGATGAACCAGTTGAGAATCAGATCCTCGGGAAAGTGGTCGTCGGTAGCCCGCTGGCCTGCGATGCGCGCGTACAGATCACCTGCCAAAACAGACCAGTTGTCCACTGTTGTAAACGCCGACCGCCAGAGGCCAAAGGCCAGCCAGGGACGGAAGGCAGAGATGTTTTGTCCGTTTTTTTTTTTTTTTTGCTGGCGGACGAATTGACCGCCCGTTTGGTATATACTTCGCAACATACATGATGCACATCTCAGAACATTGCGAAAATAATGGTTTATTCAGTTAAGACAGAAACGAAAAGTAAGATGGTGATCTTAAAATGGTTCAGGAACTTTTGCGTTTGTTATGATGCTTTTGGTTCCTTTGCTACAGGTTGTTTTCGTGACAAGCTGCCATGAATTTGAGAATCTCTAACATTTGAAGCTAAAAGTAACTCCGTGCATCGAAAGACGCTAGCTAGGGTTTCCAAAATGCTACACTAATTCATGACAATTACATTTTTACAACATTAAGCGTTGCAGGACTTATTACACGGTGTTTTGTGTTGGTTTTGGAAAAGCTCTGCCCGAGTTCCAATTAGAATCATATACGCCTCGGGCGTATTTTTTCGGAGTCACTACATGCTTCAGACCGCAAGATCTCCCAGACGCAGTGTTCTATTGCGGTGAGATGGTATAGATTATTTACGAAGTGTTTGCAGTACTGCGAAACTAGTACTGCAGCAATATTGTAGCAATAATAGCCAGGGATAGAACATTGCGATTTTCGTTTAGAGGGACGAACCCATCAACCCTACACATCGTATTTAAGGAAAGCATTTTTCACGAATTGGGTCCATTTTACTCTACGGTCATAATTTGGAGTGATGTAAGGCAGAAGGGTAATTATTATCAAATGATGCTTCTTTAAAATACCAAAGTGCTTATTTTGAGCTAACGACCTACGGAACACATGGAGATGCTGATAAAACGGTGTTGTGATGCTACACAACGATAATATTGACAATATCCTATATGAATAGTTTTGCTCATCCTAAAGAGCTCATCTTTTCAGGATGAGCACGGGACAGCACATGGACGTTTACATTTTAGAAATATTTCTTCATAGTCGTCTCACAGCTTCCGAAAATTAAACATACCGATTTTGCATCCTGTTTTTGGTCAAGCATGGATAATTTGCGGGAGGAGAATCAGACACAACTCGGCCACAGCACCTGCCTGTCATAGTGGACACCGCACGTGCCCATAAGTGGTGCCGCTTCTATGCCACTCCAGGAGGCTGCGGGAAGACAGCGATTTTGGGTGGCTGTTGGGCTCCCCTCGGAAGTGACAGCCACTGGGGCCAAAGAAGACACTTAACTGAATGACGCGATGACAGTGTTCCAGAATTTTCTAAATTTGATCGTCTCATGCTGCTTGTAACCGAACAGTACAGACAGGGATGTATCCTAAGGGTGGGTGGTAGAAGGTATGAGATCATGCCATCCCCCTTTGGGCCACTAATGAGCGACCCTCTTGGGCCACACCAAACTTTATTTCGAAACTATACAGGCTATATTTCCAAGAGGCAACAAGTTCCAGGGACACCTCAAAAGATACCACATTTCCACTTTGGGAGTCACCAAATTCCAGGAGCATTACTTTATTTGTACCTTGTCTGTTTGACAAAATCCTAGGTCGGCCCATTCTGTAAGGCAGTTCCAAAACCATTATTTCTGGCACTACAAGCTTTGTTTTCAGGGTGCACCCGATTCCAGAGGGCACCACGAAGGAACTCAGACCTTCATTTTTAAGAGGCGCCTCCCACCCCGAAAGAAATACTGAAACTTAGGCGACGTGTCCCAAAACGTTTACTTCGCTGCATCATGACTTATTTTTAAGAATGGTTTCTGTACGTTTCACCGTTATGAAATTCTTGATCGGTACGTTTGTTGACTTTCAGCAAAGCGGCACTAGCATTTTTCATTTGGGGGGTCGTGACCTTTATTTTCCAGAGATACCCAATTCCAGTGGACACTTCGAAGGGTGCCAAAAAATTAACATAACAAATTTCAGGTCAAATTGCAATGCCTGTGACGCTCCATATATGAAATTATGGATCGGTCCATTCGGCAAAGGGACACCAAAACCTCTATTTTGCAACACCAAAACATCTATTTACTATAGGCATCAAGTCCAAGTGGGCCAGTGGAAGGCTACCGAAACCATCATTGTATGGGACAACAGGATTTCTTTGCTGGCCATCCTGGTCAAGTTCTGAATCGACTTCTTTCACAAAAGGCACCACAAAACCTTCAGTAAGGAGCATCATAAACGCTACTTAAGCAGGCATCCAAATTCATGGCACACCATAATGGGTCCCAAAACGTTCGTTTCCAAGAGACAACAAAGTTCGGCGCACCACAATGTTCGCACGTTTCCAGGGGGGATTGAGATCGGCCCCTTTGGCAATGGGTCACGAAAACTTATTTTTGGGCACCAGAACTTTTATTGTTAAGTAGTCGCACAATCCGGAATGGCCATTTTAAGGACCCCTACATTGTCATTTTCAAAGGGCACCAAAATCAGTGACTTTACAACTTCTAGGCCTTCCACCCCGATGAAACCCGAAGTCGGACCTCTTGTCGAAGACGCATATGATGCATTCATTTTGGGCATCAGGACTTGTATTTTGAAGAGGCGCCCACTTCTGAGGAGGCACCACAAGGGCCTCCAATCCCTTTAATTTCATGTGATGTCAAGATCAAGAGGGTACACAAACTCCCCCATTTTTATTTTCACAAGGAACCAAGGGCGCCACTGGCGGTAGGACAGGATGTTTGATCTACCTCAAGTTTCAGGTTTCGAGGTCCCGAGGAGCGCCTTGGGATCCAGGGGGGCGACAATCAAGGATCCGATCGAATGTTTCGAGGGGCAGGCCTGGGGATGAGGAGACATCAGCCAATATATAAGCCAATGAGGAGACATCAGCAATACCGAACACTACGTCCCGCGCCGGTCTTGGCACTGGGGCTTCTTTCCCAAGTCGGAGCGGGGCCGGGCGCCGCAAATGTTAGTCCGAAATAGTGTACATGCATCTGGCCCCTTTGCTGATCAGGGGCCGCAATGCCCAGCACGGGCCCCACGTCGGCAATAAGCCCAAAGTCGGCCATGGGAACATTCGCTGTACAGGGACAGGAGAATAACCTCGAATGTCAGAAGGCTACTTACGTTGGTCAGGACCCTGTTGCCAATGACAGAAGACACGAGAGAAGATTATGCAGCGATCTGCACTCACAAGGGGGCGGTCACCTGAGCCAGTCAGAGACCGCAGGACCAAACGAGGGGCCCTGCGCACCGTCTTAACCAGTAGGCAGGGATCGACCAGCCGAATTGGTGCCTCAGCGACAATTAGGCATTGGACTCTTTGTGCCGGTAAGGAACCCTTTTGCGTTTGTGATGTGTCCCTGCGTCGGTCCAGTGTCAAATGGCCAGGTCAGGGGACCTGGTCATTTGACAGTGTCGAACAATGTAAGAAATTTTCGTACTCATTCAAGACGTGCAAAAACGTGCAGCACATTATTTGGATATTTTCCATATTAACGACACAAAACGTGCTACTCACATTTCATGGAGCTGACCGTGTGTTTTCCATCAGGAAAGCATCGCGTCAAAAATCTACAAATTTTAATACTTTTGCTGCTACCACGACCAACATTTCAATATTCGCGTTGTGACATGTCGCTCGAGAAGCATTACGAGTTAGACAAGGTGTGCAGGTTATCGTTTTTGCCCTTAACCATTCACTGTGGGGTTCAATTCCCACCGGTGCCCGCCCTGTCTGCCTGGTTGAGAGGCAGGCGTTGCCATATGGTCTCAGAAGCGTCATATAGCCCCAATGACGCGCCAAAATTTACGGTGAGGTTAGCGACTTACAAAATGCGACTTTTTGTGGGTTTCGTTTTACGTAAGCTATTGATTATTGTGTTATATAAGTGTCTGTCTTCCTCTAATGCTAAGTTGCGAGTCTCTACAGCATCTCAAATTATTTGAACTAAAAAAACTGGTAAAGCATCGGGAGTCAGGTTCCACTTTGTGAAGGCCGAGCAAAATATAGCGATGGTCCAGCCAAATATAAGGGGGCCCGCCCGACATAGGGGGGCCCAGCTCAACACTGGGCGGGGGGAGGGCAGCTCAACATTGGGGGAGGGGGGGGGGCATGGCCCAGCCAAAGAGATACAAAGTTGCACCCCTGGTGATAGTGACAGGAATGCATTAGCTTGTAGACAGAGCACGTATGATGGCGCTGCCATCAGACCAGCGACGTTGATCACACCACCCGCGGCATACATGGAAACCAAGACAGCAAAACGAACAAAAACACGCATGGGCTTCCCAGAGTGGAACAGATTCGCCTCGCCAGATCCACCCTCGGAGAAGTGAACGGGCTGGTCACAAAATGCAGTCGATGAACCCTCGCAAGCTAACGCGCCATGCCCCAACAACCAGGAGACCCAAATGCCGTCAGTGTCAAGAACTGATAGCCGAGGCCATCTGACGAATACCACTATGCCCGTCCGCCCGCGAGCGGGGTGCCACACAGAGAGTATTGTAACTGTAACTGTAACTGTAACTGTAAAGAAACCGCGCAACATCTCCACGACCGCAGCACATCCAAATGCAGTGCAGACGTCGCCACGGCCAGCTTACCTCCGTCGGCGTACTCCATCACGATGTTGAGCGAGCCGGAGCTGTGCTCGATGAACGCCTCCTTGTAACGGATGATGTTGACGTGCTTGCACTGCGACAGGATGGCGACCTCATTGACGCTCTGCTCACGCTCATGCTCGGGCAGCGCCGTCACCTTGATCTCCTTGACAACGTACTGGCGGCCGCTGGCGCGCGAGCGCACCAGCCAGGCGTGCCCGAACGTGCCGGAGCCGATCTGCTCCTGGCGCTCGTAGCGGACCGCGCTGCTCATGCCGGCGGCTGGGGTCAGGGATCAACTGGCGCGCCGGGCCGCCGCGCTTGGCGCGTAGTGTCATCGCCCCGGGCGAGAGCGGTCAGCGGCGAGGGCGTGGCAGGGACGCGCTCAGCGAACGAACGCCGTGGGGGAGGGGGGGGGGGGCTCCGGTCAGGTCTGCTGGTCGCTGAGGTGGGCGGGTTAAGATGTGGAATTTAAGATCACGCGGCGTTTGGTCCATTTAACAGAGCAGTGCGCCCAAGTCGTAAAATGTGTGTCTAGCCCTTGAACATGCAAGGGAAAGGTGCCGAGCGCGGAGGCAACCGGCAGTGCTCTGCCTGATTACTCTTGTTTTTTTTCCGACCGTCGTGATTTTCTTTCTAAGTTTCTTTTGTTATGTGCTTTGACACCAACGCGACATTTTATCATACAGGATGCGCAAATTTCCTCATTGCTTTTCAGAAGGCTGTCTAGTCATTTCAATGACGTGTCCCGCGCCACATGCGCTGTGCATGATGGCAACCACGAAGTTTGTGCACCCGTAAAAATCCTTTCCAAGTAGACAAATCGATTGCGGCAAATACTGGGTTGTGTGCATCTGCATAAGCGGTAGCACAAGGCAAGGTGGAAAACAAATAATGAATATCGTTCGTTGGCTTGCCTTGGAAAGGAGACGAGCATAAGACCGCATGCAGAAGTGTGGGTTGAATGGGTTGGAAAAGACCAGATTTAGCTTCGAAAGAACCGGTCTGAAAGGTTTATTGATAAGCGAGGTACGAAAGGAAAAAAGAAGGGTTTTGAAAAGAGCATCCTTTATAAGTCGACAGGTTTTCGACCTTTTGGAAACTGAAACACAACTGACGGCTGAATTGCTAGCGGCCAGTGCCTAGTAGCAGTAGTATCGTAATCTGGGGGCTTTAAGCAGAGGCGTACTCGAGGGAGCTCCGGATGCGCTCCCTCCCCGCACCCGCCCGTCGCCACCCCGTACCATATATGCATATATATATATATATATATATATATATATATATATATATATATATATATACATAATATATATATAAATATATATATATATATATATATACATAATATATATAAATATATATATACATAATATATAGATATATACATATATATATATATATATATATATACATATACATATATATATACATACATATATACATATATATATATATACATATATATACATACATACATATATACATATATATATATATATATATATATATATATATATATATATATGCGCCGTGCAGTACACGAATTTCTGTAAGCCTAAGGCTTGATAAGTTGTTTTCGTGCGTAAAATTTTACGCTTTGGCGCTTTCACGAAGTCTTGTTGGCGCCCTGTCTTTGAGCCCCACCCGAGCGGCCGCGTTTTCCACGCAAGAAGATTTATAGATAGTGATTTGGCTACGTCATAAAGACGATACCAAGATCCTTCACACCATTTAAGCCAGTTCACAAAAGCTCACGTCAATACACTGTTGAATCAATATTGTGGAGGGTACGACAACGTAATCAAACAACGACTTATTGATAGCTTATTTACTAATCAATTAAATTGTGCTGTCCAAAACAGCTTTTACCACTTAAAAGCATGCCAATAGTTTTGATTGTGTTTATTTTATCATATCGCATGCTTGTTTTAATGTCTTGAAATGTAGAACATCCCTTGAAAATCGGGTCAATCGTGAGCACACAGGATCCGTGAAACAGAGTCCTTGCACCCGGGGAATTCATTTCCAATGCACTCGACAACGCTCCACGGCAGCTGCATGGACCTTAGCGCATTGCCCTTTGACCATATGCTAAAACCACGTCCGCCACAAAGACGGGGTTTAATTAAATCTGATGCATTGGATATTGGATACGCCATCCAATGATGCCTTATAATTGCTTCTGCGGCCTACCACCTACCGACGGCCAACTTGACGCAAAATGCGAAGCGCCTGGCGAACAATATGAAGATGGCAGCCGACGTCGACGACGTAAACAATTTTCTCAGCACTCCGTTCGCCGACCCGACCGACGCAGTTGCTTGTCAAAACTGAAACGCTGGAGCGGCACGCGGAGGGATAGCCGGCGGCCATTACCTCGATCCTGGTGAAAACACGCTATAGTCTTGCTTGCCTTCTATCATTTCATGTTTTCTACGTTGGTTACATTTCTTCATCAGATGCTTCATGATATCACGTGACCAGTTTCAATCAGCGCGTCGCCAGTGAATAAGCCGCAGACCGCATCACGTGGGAACAATTGACTATTTTCCATTATCACACGCATAAGACTAAAGGCAAACGTCCTCAACGTACACTCATTTAACTTCCCCAATTTTCCAAACTCAGTTTTCCCAATTTCTCGATTACTTTCCCAGTCAGGAGCCAGAAAGAGGGCATATGGAAAGGATGGCGGCAAAGAGATGGCCGTCAAGCGCTCTTCTGATCGCGTTGCGCACCGTCACGAACAGTGCGGCCACTGATGCATATGCAGCAGTGTTAATTTATCGTTTGACTTGATCTGACTTATGCTACTAACTGGTCTTGACAGTTCACATTAGATCCGCAATGCTTCCAGGGTTCCTATGGTTTTGGGTATTTGGTTCTATGGTCCTTGGCCTTCCCGATCTTCAAGCAAAGGTACGCAAGTGCCGATGGGTTTAGGTGTGGTCAACGCTACGTGGCCACATTCATGTACCCCTACAGCCTCGATGTCGAAGGAGGCTACACCCGCCGACCAATGCTCTGAACAGTGCCAATATGCTCCGGTGAAAGTACTCTGATCTTTATCCGAAAAGATATGAAGTAAACATATTGATTCATATATTGGCAGATATGCAGACTAGTTGGAGAAAGCCATCATGTGGAATTTCTTAAGGGCTACAGCCATACCTAAGCGAGAGAGGAGCAGCTCAGTGGTATGCCAGGCTGTGGGTATGTATTCTGGGTCGTGCTATGATGGTGTGACTCATCTTGTCGATGTTTAGCTGGGTTTCCAAAGCTTCGATTTGATTTATGGTTTCGTGACTTCGGGCCGAGGCGACCAACAGTTTAACTGCTAGTTCACTAAACCAATTTTCCAATTCCAGTTTGCATCCTATAGCGGCAGAGATGCCAAAGCACGACGTTTAACATATTATCTCGACAATGGAAACCACGCGCACTGCTTGCGTCCCGTTGTAACCAGCTCTGAGTCTCTTCCACTACAAAAACCCAAACAATAACAACGATTCTAAACGATTACACAATTCTAAACGACGGCAAGGCTTCCCGCGGTGGCCTCGCGCGGGATACTAGGTAATGGTACTTAGTTCATGTGAACACCGAAAGACGCTTCTTAAGGAAGAAGACGTAAGAGACCGTAAAAACTCGCATCTAAGTAAGGTACACAGAAGAAGCATACACCTCGAAGCAAAAAGCATCGACATTGTAGATGAGCGGAGTAAGATTATCGATATTCAAGCTAAAGATGAGGGAGGGAGCGGTTCCAGTTGTAATACCACGCGACATACAAATACAGCTGAAGTATGTCCCAGTTATCTAAAGATGTGATTAGTATTCGCTTCGGGAAATTCGTACAGGTTACCCACTAAACGCACGGGTTAGCCCGTCAGCAAATGCACAGGCGGCTTGAGATGCATCACCATAGCGATTATCAGCACCGCCACGCACCACCAGACTATCGCCCGCGGGTGAAGCTGGAGTTGAGACTGCGCCTTGCCAGCAACTCCAGCCGCGACATCGTCGTTGGCAGCCGGCTCTTCCAGCCGGGAAAGAGCGTGGCCAAGGAGGCAGACTCCAGGCACCGTCGCAGCCCTGTTCAACGCCGCCGACAGGGGCGAAAGTCAGCAACTCCAGTCACTGAGCGCTTATTTTTACGATCACGTTAAGTTTCACAAAGTAATCCGTGTGCGCTTTCAGGTGATCATTCAGCTGGCGCCGGCCGCTGTTTTAACTAAGCCTGGCACTTCTGTTTAAGTCTAGTCTAGTCTGCTGTTTTTAATCGATATTACTCCTCCGCCTGTTCCAACAAAACCTGGCTAAGGCAAATTGAAAAGGGGAGAGCGAATCATTCGTCTTTTTGTTGCCAACGAAACGCACGCTGGGTGGTGATGTTACGTATTAATACGAAATGCGAGACCCCTGAATTTTTCATTTGCTGAGATGTTTTTCCGAGCGGAAACATTTTGCCCGTATCGGGAAAGGCATATTCAGTAAACATGCAAGCAAGCAGAACACATTCGCAGTGCAACGATACCTACCTCGCACTTACGGACCACGACAGCGAATACACCACATGTACTTACAAGCACGGCTGAAACCCCGTTATGCAAGGAAAATGCTAGAAAAACAACCCTTTTAGAGCCACTAGGAAGAGTTTTGCAAAGTGGCCACGTAGTCAGAGTTTTTTGAGGCCGTAATGTGGCAGGCAACACATTTGTAAGGCAACAAATTTGCATCAAATTATGAAGCTATGAGTCAACAGTTCGTAAATGGTCGAGCAACAGGCATTCCACCAGCGGTACGTTTTTAAAGAAAGACGTAAGTAGGCATTTCTTACGTCACGAGTTAGCGCCTTGACATTCGTAGTTTTTGGTTTGCAGCGTAAGCTGCCCAGTGTAAGCTATATGCAAAGCGGCGGATTCTCGGTAATAGCATTCTAGAGGTCACGGTTGCGAATGTGAGCGTGTCTTGGTGATCGTACGTTTGTGACCGTGCTGTAACCGTGCTGTCAAAGTGTGCACCAGAGAAACAGAGAACCACCGTCATCGAATCGAATCACACGTCTGCACCCATGGCGTTTCCACCAGCATGCATTGGATGTCTTCACAAGGCTAGTTGTTGTTAAGAGATTTGTGTTCGCTGATATGGCTGCATGCCATGATTAATATGCTTTTTGATATTCCAAAGTGATGTGCATAAACTGGGGTATGACCGGTACGACTCACACATTTGCGATGTCATCATTATCTGTGCCTCTCAGCTCTCAGC